ATAAAAAATGCTCCTTCTAATAGACCCAAAGATTCTTTTTTAATCTGTTTACCGTCTTAATAAAGTGTTAAATGGATAGCTTATTGGGTACAGATGTCTTTACAGTAGTAAGGAAACCACAATTATTGTTTATGTTTACATAAAAATGTTCATTCATTTGGTCTTTCCTGTCTACAACATGTTCATTGAATTGCCTTGTTTTCCCATTTGTTCCTCTCATCACACGTTTTCTTTAGAATCCCTGTCTTTGGTTTTCAGTGGGACAGCTTCTTTTGCTTAATGTTTGAGTTACTCTTCCATGCACAATAAACCTTATGGTTGTGATCCAATTGGAAATTGTCCAATTGATACTGGTGTTTCCTGGTTTAAGATAAGATAAGATCACTTTATTGGCCATATACAATTTCTTGAATTAGGAATTTGTCTTTTCACATACCCTAACTTCCTCTCCATGAGACACACAGACAGGGAGAGAAGCCTCGGGTCAGAGCACAGGGCAGCCATTTATATGGGCCCCTGGAGCAGTTGAGGTTAAGGGCCTTGCTCAGTGGCCCAACAGAGTAGGATTCCAGCCACAGGATACAAACCTGCAAACTTCCAGCCACAGGGACAGATCCTTAGCCACAGAGCCACCACACCGCAAATTCCAAGAGTCCATTTGCAGGCATTTGCATTATTTGTCTTGAGATCTCTGAATGTGGAATGAGTGTTTTTCTTCTGTTGTTGGTTGAGGCATTAAATATTTTCTCTAAAACATGCTTGACAATTTCCTCTATTAGTTGGATCCTCCTGTCCCTTGAAAATGATTTATCCAGGACACTACTTCTGCTGGTGATATCTGGGAGCCAGCTTAATAGACGTAACTGATCTGACAGTGTGTGGGCCAATAGCAGTACACTCATGTTATTAATCTGGTAATATGGATATCTGCATGACTCTGGACACAATCAAGAGCAGAAATACAGTACACCAGGTGCTAACAGTTGGACTATGGATGGAGCCAAGATGGCTCTCTGGATTTCTCTTTAGATGGATTTCTTGTTAAACAGAGTACAGTACACCAGAACATAATAACTTGTGCAAAGGAGAGGAAGTCATGTGGCTTCTCTAGCACATTTCATTGTAGCTAAGTGATATGAGGATCTCATCCATTTATTTTTTTTAAAATGGCTGGGCAGCTTGTTCAATATACTGTACCTACTTCCTCTGTGTAAATACTGTAAGTACGTACTGCTCTGACTTCGGCTTTAAACTTCTCCACAACAGTATTACGGACCTGCCTGGTGTGTTCCTTGGTCTTCATGATGCTCTCTGCGCTTTCAACAGAACCTTGAGACTATCACAGAGCAGGTACATTTATAGAGAGACTTGATTACACACAGGTGGATTCTATTTATCACCATCAGTCATTTAGGACAACATTGGATCATTCAGAGATCCTCGCTGAACTTCTGGAGTGAGTTTGCTGCACTGAAAGTAAAGGGGCCGAATAATTTTGCACGCCCCACTTTTCATTTTTTTATTAGTTAAAAAAGTTTCAAAAATCCAATAGATTTCGTTCCACTTCACAATTGTGTCCCACTTGTTGGTGATTCTTCACATAAAATAAAAAATGTATATCTTTATGTTTGAAGCCTGAAATGTGGCAAAAGGTTGAAAAGTTCAAGGGGGCCGAATACTTTCGCAAGGCACTGTACTTCCACATAATTCAGACTTGTTTGTTTCTTTAAGTTTGTGTTTCACTTTTGATTCTTCCAAGTCCACTGGATTAACTTTGTCAATGTATTTGAGATTTTGGAATATCTGCATTAATTATCATATAGTCATTTCTATTTAAGACTTCAAAAGAGTTCAGTTATTTTATTTAGTCAGTGTTGGACATTCCAAGATACCAGGGCAGCAAAATGTTTTGTAACATAGTGACATGATATTCAATATTTGGTTTTATCAGTGCATTGGTCAATTTTAACACACTGTAGCATGTCTTGATTTAAATTCTAACTTTTTAACTATATAACATAATGTTTTTATTTTTTACTTTTGCATTGCTTTCCTGTCTATAAAATGTAAACTATGTGCCAATATGAATACTGTGATGTTGCTGGGGGTGCAGTCATCAAAAAGGTAGTGTTAAAGGCGGGACTCAAGACAAAACAACCCAGAGCCAAAGTATACGTGTAATATGGTGTACTTGAATAAAGAAAAATAATTAACTAAAATATATCGTAGCTCGCAGGTTGAGTGTCTATCTCACTTGATTGATGGGGGTAGCCAGTCTGCCCCCAATATGTCACTAACATGAAAAGAAAATAAGTGGCCGTATTTCAAAACACAAACAAATAAAATATAATAGCTTTCTTTCAGCTCACAATTCCTAGTCTTTCTCCACAGTTGTTTTCTCCTGGCCTTCAACATTATTCAGTTCACTTTCTGTTGTACAGTACGTCTGAATTTCTTGTTTGGCATTCTTTTATTTTCCTTGCTCAAGTTTAGGTTTGCTTTAAGTCCATACAGGTTTGCTTTACCTCCCTTGTTCCTTCAAACTTTAACACAGCAATTTATTCAACCAGGCATCTTCCTAAAAGTTCATTTGCTTTGTATCATTTCAGACTTTACCAGTTTTTAAGTATCTACAGTACCTCAAGTATTTAAACAAAAATAATATTGCCTGCATCACAATGCATGTTCACGGCTCAGCTCTAGGAAACCTGCTGACTCAGCAGTCAGCTCACATTGTCTGAAACAAGGTGCACAACTGCAACCTGTTCCAGGCACTATGTCATGCTGACATTTTGTGTGCTGGTTTCCTTCAACAGCCACCTTGGTGCAATTAAAGGAATTTTAAAAATCCATGACACGCACATGAAAAAAACACCCATTTACTGTACAAAATCCTAGTGGCATCACAATACCCAATTTTTTCCATAAATATCTTCTTCAAGCTTAACGGCTTACAATTTGAATCTGTAGTTTATTTTTGTATTGTTTCTTTCAGATTGAATTTTTTTGTAAATCTTTTGAATTTCACTGGCTGCTTAACAGTGTTTATTAAGCCTTCTTTCTTGGTATCATCTGCAATCTTGACCAATTTACTTAACATACCACATTGCAGATCATTGATATAAATAACAAAAGGCTCTTGTTCTAGTACAGATCTGTCACACCCTCTACAGCTAGAGGGTGCTTCTACTCTGTTCTGCCCTAGTTTCCTGTGATTGTCCTTCTGGTGTGTCTCTGTCTGGGGCTATATATTTCTGGGTCACGCTTTCTTCCTCGCTCAGCATTGAGGTTCGGATGTCCTGAGACCCGCCTAGCACCAGGTCGCCCCACACCGTGGCCTGAGGGCATAGGTTTCTATACGGCATTTCCTGAACAGCTGAGCCCAGGCTAACCACTGCCCCAAAACTACGCATAGGGTCTTTTTCACTCTCCTGCCATTCCACGGTTCGTCCCTTCCAACATCCGTGACAAGATCCTTATTGTATTCACTTATCACATCATCATCATGGAGTCATTCACACAATATTAGTAAGAACATTCTTCCATTGTCTTAATATGAGATGCTAATTTTTGAAAGCCAAGGAAAGTACCTGACCATCACCCCACCTCATATAACTTAGACAGATAGCTTACAAGACCGTAAATGAACTTGTTACAATTAATGGTAAGCACTCACATGTACAAAATAATATTAAGTGTTTTGCGTTACCCTTTGTTCAATGTATAGTATTCTTTGTGGGTTTTTTTGTCTGAACATTCTGAGAAATTTCACTTTTACCACCAGGAGCAATGAAAAGTATCCTCCACAAATCTGAAATGCAGTATTACACATTACTTGACCACTGGCAGGTACTGCAGTGTCTTAAAAAATGTAAATACTTTTGGAAGGTCCTCATTTAAGAGCAGGAATACACTTGTGAAACATCCACCATTTTAATAACAGCTCCGCATAGCACAGTATATACTGTACATGATGGATCAGTGCAAAGGCTGTTATTACTGCAAGTACTAAATGCTGCATTTATGTTGTTGAGAACACAACAAGATCTTATTTTTTAAACAGCATTACATAGCAGAACCAGTTATATGTTTATACCATGTATATTTTGCTTCAGGAACATCAGTCATCTGTCGAAAACAAGTTGATGTTTTCCTGAAACACAACATACAGAAGATATAATTGCCAACCATCTTATGTCTTAAATACAGACTGTCCAGTTAAAACTGGGGTGTAAGGCTACCCATTATTTGTACTGTTTTCTATCCATTAACCAATTCTCAGTCCAAATATATACTGTACATTCCCCTGAATGTCTCCTGCCTGCAATTTGAAAATTATTGTTTCATGAGAAACTTTAACAAAAGCCCTCTGTAAATCTAAACATACCATATGGTATTCTCTTGTTTGTTACTATTGCTGCCTAATTCAAACAACTAGCAAGTTAATGTAGTTAAGCAAGACGTACCTTTTAAAAAAATAAGTGTTGGATAATCCTTATGATCTTATAAACCTTATGATTTCCCTATAGCAGATCCCCTTTATTAGTTTTAATTATTGTTTCCTTACATGTAACTGAAGTCAGACTACAGTAAGTACCCTTAAATAATTATGTTTTACTTTTCTCACTCGTTTTATGGATGGGTACTTCATTTGAAATTGTGCTGTCCATAGGTCCGATTGCTATTTTTACCCCCCCAGAAGAATCCAAAACAAGGTTACACTGCTATTTATTATGTAATAAAGAAAAATAAAAATAAAATAAAAAACACATTTTTTTAAAAAAAGCCACTTTTATTTTCAGACGATATAAAGTATTCCGTTTAAGATAGAAGCACATTTATTAATTTACCCTAATTAATGAGCATTAAACGTGGGGCTTATAAACTGAAAGTAGCAAGGTTAAAAAAAACGCTATGAAAGTAGATCGTAACTTCCGTGAAGGTTTACAACTCTGATATTACTGTAACTTTCGCTGGAACCCTACCTTTTTCTTCTAAGAATTACGCTAAAGTGAGTCACGGAAGGAGGGGGCAGTGTTAGCGTCCTGGGCGTGTGATACTTAAACTGGAGAATAAGACTAGTAGGAGTCATAAGCCATTTACAACTTCACTTGTGTGGTTTGCTGGTCAAGGTAGTGTAAAAATAGGCTCAATTGCTGCCGAGATTTTCGGGAGGTTATTACCATTTGAACAGTTCTTGTGTACTCCGAAAGAAGTGGCGGAACCCTGTCTTGACTTTAAGTGTCACTGATCAAAACAGAGTGTACAAAACCACCCAGGAATTCTTTTTGTTTCAGAAGGACATTCTGTAGCAACTGCTAGACGGTAAGAACAGATCATCCGCTTTTCTTTTCCCTGTGGTTTAGAAATGTAAAACAGGCAACCGTGGTTTTCCGTTGTAACTGAAATAACAATGTCTGCTTCGCATTTAACATGTAATACTAACTTCTAACTTAATGCTTATAAGTAACACTGCGAAATAATCACGTAAAATGTAAAGTTCGATAGGAGAGGAAAGAATAAAATGTGGTTCAGCCACCGAGATTAAACAGCCAAGTCATTAAACGTAATACCGAACCAATTACTGTTATATTATGTAGCATAAAGAAGACGAAAACTTATTTGTACATTAAAAGAGATACATATTACAGTAATTGTGTTGTGTGCTGAAGTTGGGGGAGGGGTTTATACCTATGCTAAATATATTTTATTAAACCGTGCTGTGCGCTTGGGAAAAAAAAGTTAAGTAGATTTACGGTGTTTAAATATTAAGTTCACATAGCTCAAGTATTATCATTGTCACCAAAATGTTATCGTTTTCTTTCCAACAATATATACATATCCTTTGTAATTGTCAGCATAAGGTGTCATTGTATTTGTAAACATCTGCAAATACTGTATGTTTGTACAAGACGGTGTTCCTGCTGTCTTTTTTGACGTTGTGTGCGTCTGTGAATCACTTGAGTTAGTGTATACTTACTAAATCAGACGAGCTCTAAACAAACTTTTATAAAAACAAACGATGTATATTTCTTTCATTAAGATTTCAGTTGACCAAATCATTTAAGAGAAACGCCGGTCATAGGTATGATACTATTATCGGGATGTTAACATGAGAGAAAAATGAACGCAGAAGAAATCAATCCGTGATGAAATACGATTGAAAGCAACAACTGTACGGACGTGCAGTTATATAAAGTATGTGTTAAAATCGGATGTTTAGATCGTATGCAGAGAGACGTAATTTGCGCTTCATTGAAATGTATTGTATTACACACGCGTTTTAGGCTAGACTTCTTTACACTTCTGTAAACCAAAGCTACAAAACGCTGTGATCATACCAATTCTAATGAATTCAAAACTGCTTTATTCAGATTGATACGTACTTTTTAGGGTTGCAAACGTTTATATCCGGGATAAAGAACAAGCAAAGGGTTTCGCTCAATTTAAACTGTAACGATTTATTTTGCTATATATAAAACTGTTGATGGATAACAAGCGGTAAAATAATACCCGTGACGTTTTACTCTACAAGTGTAATTCGCAGTGTTGAATCACCAATTGAACATCTTTTAAAACCGTTTTTCGAACAGCGTTCCCAATTCTAAACCTTCTTTAGAGATAACAAAAAAATCCATTTCATGCATTAATTCCTAAATGTTACAGAAAGCATTGTTTTAAGCAGATGCCGCTATATAACTGGATTCTAAAATTTGATAACAATGTTAAATGTACAGTGAAAATGTACAGTGAACAAGTCTCATGTGAACTATTGCCTTCAAGGATTTTTCCTCTCTACGTTTGCTTTCCAAATAGGGAGAATTCAAACAAAATAAAAAATCAATTTGTTTGGATGTACATGCCGGGTCTGGTATTATTGCCTTTCACAGGCATACGATTTCGACAAATGCTACAGAATCAATGCATCTCTTGTATCACTGTCAATTACAATTCAGAAGCAGAAAGTTAGTGTTTGAAACTTTGTTATAATAAATACAATAACCTAGCAATAAGAAATGTTAGACACGGACATCTGACTGAGGCAGTAAGCATTGGATAATGAGTAGCATCGGTGTTTTGCAGAAGCTGGAACTGGAGCAATTAAATGTTACGTTGGTGTTAAATTTACGAACGTTCGTTTTTTTACGTGAGGAAGTTTTTTTTATGTAAGTTGCGAATTTTTATAGTGCAGTGAAACTAGATGGCACGTGACGCTTTCTGTGCAAAACAATACATTAAATTATCCTTTAAAACGATAAAAAACATGACTTTTAATTAGGCTGATAATCAGAATTTTGATAAGTTGTCTCTGAGAATCAAGTCTAATTGTTTTTTTCCCCCTTTATCTTTAAAACTAAAGGAAACCACCCCTGTTTGTACCCCCTGTCACTTTCTGGCTCATAGTTCAAAATAAAACGTGTTTTTAATTTTGTTGTGAAAAAAAAGTGAAAAGTAAAAATGTGTGTGGGAGGTCCATGTCTGGATCATGCTGTGGTTATAATATTATTGAACATTCAAGAACAACGTGCAGCTGAAGTGCTCATTTGCTAAAGATAACTTTGAATGCTGATTACACCAACATATGAATTACGAACCCAGGTCCTCTTGCATAACATTTTAAGCAGAGAGTTCTTCCCTTTGCATTTTCAACAACAGAAATACTGAATAATTACCACAATGGAAATTACCTTGTCTGGTGCCAAATCAGGGTGGCAAGGTGGTGCAGTGGTTAGCATTGCTGCCTTGTAGTGCTGGGGCCTTGGGTTCAGTTCCTGGGGTGTTGTCTGTGGGTTTCCTCCAGATGCTCTGGTTCCCTCCCACACTCCAAAGACAAACTAGTAGGTTAATTTTCTTTTGTAAAAATTGGCCCTGGTGTGAGTGTGTGCGTGTTTATGTCTATGTGTGCCTGGCATCATGTCTAGGGTGTATGCTGCTTTATGCCCAATGCTTCCTGGGATAGGCTCTGGACCATGACCTGGAATTGGATGAAGTGGTAATAAAATGGAAAAAATGGATGATGCCAAATCATACAATGGGATATTTGGTTTATCCGGGCTTGGCCATCTGTTAGGTGTATCCGTGTTGCATGTGAAATGTTTTTTGTTTTTCTTTAAAACATTAAAACATGCTTTCAAGATTAAAAACATGAACTCCCTTTAATCATGATGGTTCCCTGATGCACTGTTTTACTTTTCTGTGTTAGTTATCTTTAAAAAATACATTATGGTCTAATAAACATAGACCCTATAAGTTTGAGTCATATTTGTGATTTCTGCGACACGATTTGAATGTGGGAAGTTAAATTAGATGTAAATTAAATTACACATCAGAAGGATCTAAGATTAATAATACAATATACATTTCTTCAAACAAATCTCCCATCTATCAAATGTCAGAGTGAACAGTTTTTAAACATGATCGGAAAATCTTTTAAATATCTGTCATGACACTTATCTCCATTATTTTTCAGTGACTACCTTATTTGAGAGAAATTCCAGCATTTTCAAGGATCTGAAGTTCACCGGCTTCTTTTCAATGTGGGATAAAGTTTTGTTCCTTCCGCCAGGCTGAATTTGACCAGGTTGAGGACCTCTCTGATGGCGGCTTTCCTGTTTGGATTGTTTTTTCTTGTGGTACAGCCACCTTCTGTTCCTTCCAGACCCACTGAAAGCAAAGATGGTGGTGTTGCTAAACAGGTTTTAGAAAATGTGGTACATGGGGCTTCCTCACACCACAGTGACTCAGAGCTGCCTGTTCATTCTAATGGAACTATCCAACAACTGCCTCAAACCATAATCATTGGAGTAAGGAAAGGGGGTACAAGGGCCTTAATTGAAATGCTCAGCCTCCATCCTGACATCACAGCAGCAGAAAATGAGGTTCACTTCTTTGACTGGGAGGACAACTTTAAAAAGGGATTTCAGTGGTATGTCAGCCAAATGCCTTTCTCTTTCCCTCATCAGATCACAGTTGAGAAAACCCCTGCCTATTTCACTTCCAGTAAAGTGCCAGAGAGAATTCATCACATGAATCCTGATATCAAGCTTCTTCTAATACTAAGAGACCCAACAGAGAGAGTCCTGTCAGACTATACGCAAGTTTTTTATAACCGTCTTCAAAAGCACAAGCAATATCAATCCATTGAGTCAGTTCTCATTAAGAATGGGGAAATTAATTTGGAGTACAAAGCTTTAAACAGAAGTCTTTATTACCTGCACATGCAGAACTGGTTGAAGTACTTTCCTCTCGACCACATTCATGTGGTAGATGGAGATCAGTTAATCAAGGACCCTTTTCCTGAAATGAAAAAAGTTGAGAAGTTTTTAAACCTCTCACCTCAAATCAATACATCAAATTTTTATTTCAACAAAACAAAGGGCTTTTACTGCCTGAGGGATCATGGCAGAGAAAGGTGTTTACATGACTCAAAAGGAAGGGCACATCCTCATGTAGCCCCCCAGATACTCGACAAGCTGTACAATTTTTTCCATGAACCTAACCGAAAATTCTTCGAACTCATTGGCAGGACTTTCAGTTGGAAATAATCTGTATCTGTGTCTAGCAAACTGAGCCCATTCCAGCAGTATAAACTATGTGTAGTATTCAAAGATAATAAATCTTAACTGTAAATTACCACTGTACAGTATAAATATTATATAAGCTAAATATATTTTTTTACGTTTCAAAAGTTATAGTTTAAAAAACAATTGTATGATTCATTTTTATTTTGTATTTTATTTTTCATAGAAAGCATGGTTCCTACTTGTAATGCAATTAAAATTGTGAATGTGTGTTTTCTGTATTTTGATGCCCATAGAAGGGATGGCTTGGTTTTGTGGATACCTGTGCAAGTCGATTATTTTTGGTTTTCGCGGTTTGGGCAGTTTAATTTTTATATACTATTTAATAACACAACTTTAGTTTTATTTGCACACAGTCTGACATATTCACAGACTTTTAGGATTGTATTAACATAAAATCACTTTATTAGCCCTATACAACTTCTTGCATTAGGAATTCATCTTTTTGCATACCCCAGATTGCTCTCCATGAGACATAGACAGGGAGAGAGAAGCTTGGGGTCAGAGCACAGGGTCAGCCATTGAACAGTGCCCCTGCAGCAGTTGGGGTTAAGGGCCTTGCTCAGGGGCCCAATAGAGTAAGATTCCTCTGCAAGCTGTGGGAATTGAACCAGCAACCTTCCAGCCTCAAGCACAGATCCTTAACCACAGGGCAAAGAGAACTGCTTTTGTGCAGCCTAGTCTGAGCAGTTACCTATTTAAGGAACCATTTCTGTATCTGAGGTGAATTTAAATGATCTAAAAATCTCAGAAATGCACATTTTATACATATGGAATCAGCAGTGTTTTGAAGTAATCTGCTTGATTCTGACTGAATTTTTTTCTTTATTTAGTCAGTCCTTAAAAAACTTAATACTTTGGTCAAAACAAAAAAAAAACACTTAGCTATGTTCAGAGAGAATAGAGAACATTTGAACAAAACTGGAATACATTTGGTATTGTTTTAGAATGTGTTTACTGCTCATTTTTATTTTGTCCAATGCATTTTAACCAAATGCCATAAGAAGAAATGTTTTTTAAAAGATTTCATGCCATTCTTAGTTAAAATGTTCCATGTGGTGCTGACAATTTTCTTGTTTTGTGTTGTTCTAACATAAAATGCAATTGTCTAGCATGAAATGCATTTTTATTTGCTAAATAAACATGTTTTCTGTATGAAAACAGCAGACTACTGTCAAACCAATAGCATATTATTTTTTCATGCTTTACATGTAGTGCTTACAACTGAAAATGGAACACATTGTTTTTCATAATTCGTTTTTTTTAAATACATACAATCCTGTTTCAATTAGAATTATTGTTAACCTTGTACCAGCTCTCTTCTAACAAAATAGATGTAAAACAATTTAGCAATCAAGCTTCCTACCTTTTGTAAAAAGGCAGGTAAAAAAGCTGGTAAAAGCTGCTGGTAAAAAAGCAGATTTGTTGTTATCAGTTAAGATTTTCATTATGATCTGGGCAAAAGACTATAATTCATCTTTCCTATTCAGAATTTCTGACAAACTACAATAATCAAACAAAAATGTTTTGTGTAGATCCATTCCTGGATCAGCTGAAAACCTTTAATAGTTAATTTTCTGTTTGGTTTCGCAGCATTTAAGATTTGTTGCAGAGTTTATTGATTTTGTTTGCTTGAGAATGTCAAGGGTTTGACTTGCATTAACTATTCCTTCAAAGAAAAATTGAATTAGAACAAGCAATTTTACACAACTGATTCTAAAAATAATTTTCACCCAAGATGTCAGGATATTTGTATTTAACATTTCTTGTTTTATTGCACCTTACATAATGCTGTACACAGGAGGTAAAATATATAATACTACTGGATACAGAATCCAAGGTGTAAAACTACCTTTCCAACTGTGATTTCAAAACAGGGACCAGGTGAGTTCCTGACAGTCTTGAGAAGAGAAAGTACAACTGTGGGGTCAAGCAGCAAAAGGACGGATATGAGAATGGAAATACATCGAAAGAATCTGTAGACTGTAAATCGGATGGAGGAGTGTGGGAACAGTGCAATGTGAGTATGTGCATCTGTGTATTTGCTCTCATGATGAGAAGGGCTTAAAAACGATACTCAAGGTATATCATTATAGAAATGGCAGTGTATGATAATGTCTCTGCTATAATACAGACCTACATGTTTAAATGATATTATGTGGCTCTGTTATCCTTAGTGTTTTAAACATTCTCACTCCTAAGGAATGCAGACCATAATGAAAGGAAGCCACAGTTTAAAGTCTGATTACAAACTTCACAATGAAAGCTGTTCGCAAATTGCTAAGTTTTGCTGTAGTAAAATGTTAAGAATTCTTCTGTTAAATGCATTCAATTTATCAAGAAAAATATTTACTTTTGGGTTAACATTTTGTCCAACATGTTGTGAAAACTTAAATGTTTCTATCTGCTTTTATGTTTTACTTGTAATATTGTAAAGACATTGTCCATTGCTGCTATACTCCATGAAACCTTAAATATGATGCTTAGAAAATGCATGTCAGCTGAAAGGAAGGTATGGAATGTTTTTGTATCCATCATTTGAGTTAAGGGGAGCATTTTCCATTTGAGAAGAATATACAATTTTAAAATAAACAGACCCTGTAGCAATTCAGGAGTTTTTGGAGATAAGAACTTCTGTGGCCTCACTTTAAAAGGTCACTTTACAGTGAACACAAAATACTTTTGATCTTGGTATATTACTTATTTATCGCAGGCTTTCATGGCCTTAATTATAACTTTGTTATGACCCATTATGAGGATTAAACTAAAAACTGTAAAGAAAAATCTGTTGTCATTAAAAGTGTGTTAATGTTTTTGCAGACTATACATGAGTTCAATCAGTTATTGGGTTATAGATATACAGTAAAATAAAATATAATTAAATAAAATATAAAACCTGAACCAAAAATAAAGCCCTTTTTTCCATTTCTATAACTTCTTATATTGAGTAACAGAGTTTTTCTTTCCTGTTGCAGGTAAGATTAGGAAAAATATTCTGTGTCATAAAACTAAAGAAAACTGCTTATGATTTATTAACATTCATACCTTTTAACAGTTGCAAGGGATATTGTAACAGGTATGTAAAGTTGGGACAGTTACAAAATATCAATTAATGAATCACATAATCTGCACTGTTTTTTTTTAGCTTCATGTAATCATAACATTAAGGAAAACATCAAGTGGATTGCATTTTTTTTGGATCAATTTGAATTCTTCTAAGCCAGTTACAGATTCTGTTTACACAAGTGATCTGTTTTTAGTAATGAATAATGTTATGTTAGTCTTCCTAACAGCTGTTGGAAAGTATGTTATTTAGATGTTACAGTGCAATTTGTATCTGATGTAGAATTGTAGTAACCAATTCTGTATGTTCGACCTGAGGTCAAAACAGGGTATGTGGCAGTTGCAGTACCTCAATACTGTAATTTGTGCTCTTTGTCACAAGGGACAGAGATGGGGTGCAATTTATCTTTGGGGAACACTGAGATTAACATTGATTCATAGTAGAGCAACTATTCAGGAGTGATTTACCTCTAGTATACATGGAAACACAAATGAGGAATTACTAAGATAACATATTGGGCAGGTTTAAACAAATATTTTCAACACAAATAAAAAAGTTAAACAAGACCATTTCCTCTGCAGATTTGCAGGGGCACATTTTACTTGTGACACTGAATATTTATGATAAATAAGGCTTTTGTACACAAATATATTGTAAGAGTTTAAATTAAATGTGACATGTTAATGTTGTGCAAGAAATTAAGACTAAAATAGAGTACAATTTTATTAATTCAGACTAAATATGAACAAAACACAGTATGAGGGTAACTATGAGGTTTTTAATCTACCAATTGGAATACAAATACTGTATATTTTAATAATGAATTTAAAGTTCAGATATTTGTTATTCTCTGATTAATAGTTGTGTAGTGTAGTTTTGATTTTTTTATAAAAGGTAATAATGTGTACACATAATGTGTGTAAAACATGCTACCACTGCAAATGTATATTTATATAAATCAGGTTACTGACAAAATTTAAATCTGCAATACTAATTGTAACCCCAACACTACAAAAACAAAGATCCAAGAGTAATTGTATTGCATGCATATGAGATATTACAAATTACATTTCCAAAGCTTTTTTCTCTTCTTCATCTTCCCCACAGGTCCATTTCTCATGCAGAATGCTTGCGCAAGTACAAATTTCTTTGTCAGGCCAACCTTTGTACTTCCTGATACTGTGTTGTTCTGATATTTCTTTAAGTTTTACCAGCAGCACCTGCTTTAACAGGGTGAACACTAAGTGAATTTGGTGGATTTGGAAAACATTTACAACTTTACACCAATGTTTGAACTTTTTATTTCTGTAGAATTTTGTTGGTGGAAAAGACTTCTATCGGAAAATGTAGGTGAACTTTTCTTCTGTATAGTATGGTTTGAAGAATAGCACTTGTTTACTTTAAACTAAGTTTCAAAATGTATTAAACTGACCCTAAGATTAAGTAATTATAAGTAAGATCCTTGTTATATCCTTGTTGTTATAGGTATAGTACTGATTTACGATTCTATAAGAAACATTGCAGGAATCAACACTAATGGCCTGAATCAAGAGAAAAAAATGATAAGTACAGAAGGAAAAGCAGAGAATATGGCAAAAAACAAAATAAAAGGGAAGACTTGTGGATTATGTGAAAGTCCAAGATTATTTCTTCCCTACTGAAAACTCTTTGAGAGTGTGCTGCTGGCTTCAGTATTACATCAAAACTAAACTTGTGAAAGAAAATGGTAAAGCGTCACCTTTGAGAAGCTGGTTGGTAGGGAAGATTCCCAGTCAGAAACCTTTGTTCACAAGATGAAACACTCAAGAAAGCCTATGATGTTAACACAACCATGAAAAGATACTGTAAACATTTTTGAAACTTATGAAACTCCAGAAGCATACAGTGTGAGAAAAAAAAAGGAAGCAGTAGTAAGACTGCTGTAGTAGCCAATTATGTTTTTTATTCCCCAATGTGAAATATAGTGAAAAGAGTATTGAGTGTAAAGGAATATGTAATATTAATACTGATTTTAGTGTCAAATAAAACATGCCAAAAACATGATGAGGGGTATACAGTACATATTCTGGGAGACAACTGAGAAGAATAAACATAAATGTCAATACATCCCTCACACTGTAAATAAGGAAATATTTAAAAATAAAGATTACACTAAAATACTAACTTAAATATGCTTTGTTAAATTGTCTTTGAGTGGAAATGAATGGATACTAATAAAAAATCCAATGTTATTTTGATTATTACTTATTTAATTGAATTGCAATATATTTCCAGTTGGTACCACAATTGTGCACCAGTTTATAAAATATATGTAATGTACTAAGGGTGCGTTTTGAAGAAATTAAGAGGCAGGCTTTAATAATAAAAGATAAAGGGTGTAAAAACAATGATAAAAGTTTTGCA